ATACTACTTTTTGGTAAGGGAAGACACGTTTCTGCAACTTTTAAGTAACATTCTATTCACAACAAGAAAACTAAATTCTTAGAATATTACAAATAAACGTTCAAATAATGTAACATTTTAGGGGAAGTTAGTAGAATGTTGTCATGAAAACGTTTTTGTAATCTTTAAACAACATTATAATTGCAAAACTATATATGCTAACATTCTTAGAACTTAAAAAAAATAAACGTTCAAATAACATTTTTTACATTCTTAGAATATTAAAAATAACCATTTAAATAACGTTATATTTTGGGTGAAAATAAAGGTTGTAACAAACGTTTCTGTAACCTTTAAGTAACATTATAATCACAAAAACTAGACATTTTAACGTTTTTAGAATTAAAAAAAAAAATGTTCAAATAACATATTTTAGGGGAAGTCAGAAGAATGTTGTGAAATGTTTTTGTAACCTTTAAATTACATTATACTAGCAAAACTAGATATTTTAATATTCTCAGAATTAAAAAAAAAAAAACAATAAATGTTCAAATAAAAATGGTAAAATTCTTAAGAATATTAAAAAATAACCTTTTGAATAACATTATATTTCAATGTGTTAAAACAATGTTCCCACAGCGTTACATGTGTTACCTCGGCAGTCATGAATTTACGCATGCGCAAAAACAAACGCCTGGAGCGTCGCATTTCCATACCTGCAAACCGTCAGTCTCGCTTCTCTCCTTGACAGCTTCGGAAACTATGAGCTGCGTGAATCCTAAATGAACTGACAGGATGGATTCAGCGTCCCAAAGAGGAGATACGCATCAGATATCATCATCATAATCATCAGCTCAATTACTGAGAGCCAAACGCAGCCGAAGGCAGAGAGACGCACAGAATACGGTTACACAGGGAACGAGGGATGGAGATGAGAGAGATAGAGGGAAACAGAGATGGAGAGATAACTATTTTCTTACTCCTCTTCCTTGACCTTCAGCTGATGGTCTGACTGAAGCTCTGATCTCATGATGTCCACATGCATCATTCATCACTTCAATGTTTACCTCAGAGAGTCTGGATACACGTGTTAGTCAGACGCTCCAGTTTTTATTCAGGCCAAGAACCACCCAGATAGAGCCGAAACCATGTCTGATTTTTATATGGGGTTTACAGGCATCAGATGAAGACATGGCGGAGATCATTCATATAATGTCATCAGAGCCTCTCTGTGAGCTATATGGAAGCTTGTTTTCAGCATGAAATAAAAATATAAAAGTAAATGCAACTTTCTATCTCTAGGTTCTAACTTTTTGCTCACAAATCTAAGGAAAACTCGCAGCTGTGAGATATTAAGTCAGAATTGTGAGATAAACACTCACAATTAGACTGAAAAAAATGTTTAATTCATCCAATTAAAAAAATAGGGCAAGTTATTTCTTTTTCATTGGCTCAAGTTAAAAAGTATATTTTTTTATATTATATTATATAAAAAAATAAAATAAAAAAAAGTAAAAAAAGTATAGATGTGAATCATTACCCTACATTTTTTTAATTGGATGATTGAAAAAAAAAATTCAGTGTACCTCGGAATAGCGATATATGCAAAATCAAAATTGCAAGACATAAAATTGGAATTGCCAGATAAAATTTAATTTGCAGAATTGTAATTTGGAATTAAGAAATATAAACTCGGAATTGCGAAACATGAACTTGGAATTAAAATCAGAATTGCAATATATAAAATCAGAACTGCGAGACAAAATCGAATTTGCAAGATATTTGCAAGTTTAAAAAGTTAAACACAATTAACTTTTTTATTTTTATTTTATGGCAGAAACAAAAAGACAGAAATGCGAGATATAAATTCAGGATTCAAAGATAAAATGTCAATTGCAAGATATAAACAAAGAATTGCGAGATATAAATCAGAAATCGGAATTGCGGAATTGTAAATTGGAATTGCGAAATATATACTCGGAATTGTGAACTATGAACTTGGAATTGCGAGACAAAATCGGAATTGCGAGACAAAATCGGAATCGTGATATATAAATTCAGAATTGCAAGACATAAACAAAGAATTGCGAGATATAAATCAGAATTGCAAGATAATGGCAAATAGCAATTATGGTGGAAACAAAAAAAATATCATTGTGAAAAATAAATTCAGGATTCTGAGGAAAAACATTAGCAAGATATTAACTTGCAATTGTGAGAGGAAAAAAGTCTGAATTATGAGACAAAAAGTCACGAATATATATATATATTTTTTTATTTGTAATCTGTGGTAGGAATAAGCTTCTGTAGTGAACAGTTTATGTGTGAAATGTGTGTAGACGTCTGTTCAGATCAAAGACAAAACTTGAAAATAAGTGCTTTTGTTTTTTTGGGGGGCTTTTTTCAAACAAAACTATGCACTTTTCTAAGATTGCATGCTTTAAACCTGGTAAAATATGGCAAATCCAGTGAATCGTTCTTTCTAATATTAGCCCAGCATCCTGTAAACATGAGTTGTTGAACTGAAATGTAAAGACACTTCATATTCAGTTATATTATTCTGATTTGAGAAGAAAACTTGATCTGAATAATGACACATTTGTCCTCTGTAGAGCTGCTTTATAGCTCAATTTAATTAATTTCATAATTGATTAACTTTACACAGCTATTGAACTGAACTCATTCAAAATATTAATAAAAACCATAATAGCATCTCAATTAAACTAAAATAACACTGCACTGAACTAAATTGAGCTGAATGACAATTTTAGAGCTGCTTTACAGCTGAAATCAAATTCGTTTAATCATTGATTGAACATTTACACATGAACACTGTTATTTTACTGTAAGCCGCTTTGAAACCATCTGTATTACATGAAGTGCAATGCAAATAAATATGACTTGTCTTTTTGTGCATGCAAAGACAATGAGATGAAGAATAAATGCATCATTTCAGTCCTTAGACAAAGACTGAACTTTAAAGCATTCGAATAAACCACAACCTTCGGGAGAAGCTGTAGCTGTTTGGGATTTGTATTTTTTCATGTTCTGATTTTAAGCACCGAAACAGTTCATTCAAATTTGTTTCTGCTTTCAGATCCAGAAATGAATGCAGACAAATGTTTCCCACCTCGCTCCGGATCACATCAAAAGTCAGCACTCCCAGCTATAAAAAATAAATCAACAAACATCTCAATAATTAATGCAAACCAATGAAAAGGCCGTATGTAGAGCTCAGCGTTCACAGCATGAGTTTGCTTGTAGGAATGTTAAAGCCCCTGAAGACCGAAGGAGAATACGAGAGAAAGCGGACTAAATATCTCTGATCTCTATAATGAACAGCATTCATGTGAACAGGTCAGCGAGAGGCCCTCATTAAAACTCCAATATTACAACAGCTCTTAATAAAACAGACAAAATGAAAAATAATCAGAGCAACAGAGAAGAAGACAGTCTGTGCATCTTCCTCAAAGACATGAGACACCATTCAGAGACAATTCATTTTCTAAAATATATATATATGTTAAACTACATGTACTGATTAAAACCAGTTTAGAACTGCTGTTTGTATTAAGGTCAGGCACATTTACACTACAGTTCAAAAGTTTGGGTTTTTGAAAGAAATTAATACTTTTATTCATCAAGGACGCATTGAATTGTTCAAAAGTGACAGTAAAGACAATTCTAATGTTACAAAAGATTTCTATTTCAAATAAACGATGCTCTTTTGAACTTTCTGTTCATCTGCGAATCCTGAAAATAAAATGCATCACGGTTTCCACACAAATATTGTGCAGCACAATAAATATACACAGTAGTACACACATATAATATATAAACAGAAACTTTTATTTTGAATGCGATTAATTGCGATTAATCGTTTGACAGCACTGCATTTCATTCATAAGTGCTCTACATAAAAATGATTTTAAAATAATCATAACAGACGAATAGAAAATAAAAAGAATAGGCCTATTATATAGCCTAATCCGCTTTATACACTCTAAAAAATGCTGGGTTAAAAAGGGACAAACCCAGCTATCGTCAAAACAACCCAATAGCTGGGTTTGTCCCTTTTTAACACAGCATTTTTTAGAGTGTATGTCACGTGGGACTGTTACCTAACTGTTTACTAATAAGAAAGGTGTCAATCCACAATGAAAGCGCACTTACTGTGGAATGAGAGAGGACAGAAATCACTGTCTTAAAGGCTTTGTGTGTGTTTCACAGAGCGGAGCAGACGGATCGCACCAGGGGTCAGAAGATGACGACTAACAGAGCAAACACCTTCCGTCACTTACACCAGCGCCCTGAGACAGAGACACAGACTGACATTCAAACCAGAGCTTTTCGAGCTGCCTATAGGGTGATTCAGGTGTATTTTTAACACATACCGTGCATATTACCTGACAGACATGCCTGGAATAGAATAGTAGTGCACTATTAATATTTCAGATTTTTACTGAATTTCTGACCAATTACATGCAGCCTCGGTGAGCAGAAGAGACTTCTTTCAAAAGCTTATAATAGACTTATATAGAATGCTAATAATCATGATGCTAGTCAATCACAACTTTAGAATATCACAAGTTATTTTTCATTCATTCTTTAGCACTTAAACACATTATTCATCTGATAGAATTTCTATCATCTTTAGAAACGTACTTTTCAAAAACGTCCACAAAATGGGAAAGGCACTCGTTTCATAATGTGATTATTAAATAATGTGATGAGCTTAAATCTCACAATAAACCCGGCATGTGTGTATTTATATATATACACTCTAAAAAATGCTGGGTTGTTTCAACCCAACTTTTTAGAGTGTATGTCACGTGGGACTGTTACCTAACTGTTTACTAATAAGAAAGGTGTCAATCCACAATGAAAGCGCACTTACTGTGGAATGAGAGAGGACAGAAATCACTGTCTTAAAGGCTTTGTGTGTGTTTCACAGAGCGGAGCAGACGGATCGCACCAGGGGTCAGAAGATGACGACTAACAGAGCAAACACCTTCCGTCACTTACACCAGCGCCCTGAGACAGAGACACAGACTGACATTCAAACCAGAGCTTTTCGAGCTGCCTATAGGGTGATTCAGGTGTATTTTTAACACATACCGTGCATATTACCTGACAGACATGCCTGGAATAGAATAGTAGTGCACTATATACACTGCATACTACCATTATTACATGCACAGTATGTAAAATATAAAGCAGATGCATGTTATATTCAATTACACTACCTTTCAGATGTGTTAAGAAGTCTCTTCTGCTCACCAAGGCTGGATTTATTTGATAAAAAACGCAGTAAAAATGGCAAAATATTATTACAATTTAAAAAGCAGTTTTCTATGTGAATATCTGTTAAAATGGAAAAAAAGACTCAGATTTGTCTCGGGTAACCTTGTTACGACAAAGACACTTGACAGCAAAGATCTTCCCCCACAGTTGAGTTTTAATATCTTATTCCTTACAATTTCAGATTGAAAACATGATCGTTCTGAAGTCTTAAAGGGATAGTTCACTCAAAAATGAAAATTTGCTGTTAAGTTACTCACCCTCAGGCTAGCCAAGAAGTAGGTGAGTTTTTTCTTCAGTAAAACAGTAAAGAAGATTTTTCGCTGAAACCATGCTCCTTGATGATTATAAAATGCAAGTCAATGGCTACCAGAACTTTGAGAGTCAAAAAAGCACATACAGGCAACACAAAATTAATCCATGTGGCTCCTGATGATATATCTAGGTCTTATGAAGCGAAATGATCAGTCTGTGCAAGAAACTGAACATTATTTACAACATTATCACCT